CGCCAGGAATCACGGCCCTGGAGAGCTTGAAGAGGTGCATCGCCGCTGACACGCCCTCGATCAGGTGCCCTTTGTAGCTGTCGAGGACGACGAGGGCTTTCGCCCGACCGCCACGCCTTGCAGGGAATCGCTTAAGGAACAGGACGAGCACTGTTGTGATCCAGTCCTTCACGTGCTCCTCGTCCATCAATCCTTTCGGGTGCGCACGGATGATGATGCCTGGACATAAGCCAAGACAAAGGAAATCCGGCGGGGTCAATAAGAGGAGAAAAACAACAGGGCATGGGACGTGGATTAAGATAAACATAATTAATCAAACAACAAGATTTGAACTCACCAGGGGGGACTCGAATATTGGACACGATCTTTCGCTTGAATATGACATACGGATTCGGCTTCTATCCAGCAGCAGTGACTGCCAGCATGACGGTCAGTCGTTCTTTCTCGTAGCTGGCGTTGAACACGTGCACCGTCCATGAGCCGCGGACCTCTAGCGTTGTCTCCTACAGCATCTCTAGAAACAGAGGTGTTTGGTCGGCATTGATTATCAACTCGTCGGGGTAGCAGTTCAGTTTCCGCACCTGACGCACAAACTCCCAAAACTTCTCCACTTTTGTCTCGCAATATGCAAGCACAAAAAAACCAAACACAATAAGCATGCAGACAGGGAATAACACGCAAGAGTACAAGTCGAATTCGCGAAGAAAGACGGTGTGGAAACACTCGGAGCAATTGAAACTAACCGGTCTTCACACACCTCGTCAAACCGCAGCGAGTGCGGAAGCGCAAGGTCCATCGTGACAATGCTCACCAGTCGACTCCAGGGTGCCGCTTCTTCATGTACTTCCGACTCCACTTCTGCAGGCAGATGATGGAGACCGCCAAGCCATGTACGCGATGGGAGAGGAAGCGCTTGTACAGCTCGCGCTCCATGTCGAGGAACTTGGCCTTGCACCGTGAGCCGACGAGACGACGCCTGCAGCCAGCAGCCACCGCCAGTTTTGCCTTGTTTTTCTTCCACACGCGAATCTGATAGGGCTGGACCTCCGCCATCCTTGCAAGCTTGCGGTTGGATAGCTTAGGGTCATCGTCAAGCTTGCCCAACCAGAATAGCTTCTCTGCCGCCGTGCGTGAGACTGTTTTGCGCCTCGTCCTGCAGTTTCTGGGAGAGGGAGGTGCGGCATCACGGCTAACGCGAGGCATGTTGGGACGACACCTAGGCTGAGGGAAAGACGGAATAGCAACTCAAGGAAGTGTTGGCGGAGGCTCAGGCTCTCCGTCGGCAGCCTCCTCCCAGTACAGCTCGTCCTCATCGTCCTGCCATGAATTGTCCCATTCAAGCGGATGACTGGGAATCGGCAACGAGGGAGCGGGAGGCGCCGGAGGCGCCGGAGGTGCAGGAGGTGCAAGTGGCGCAGGTGGAGCGGGAGGAGCAGGTGGTGCAGGTGGTGCCGGGGGAATCGACAGGAACGGACGGAGTAGGAACTGGTTGCCGGAGGGAGGACGATGGGTGCACAATACAGAGAGGCTGCTAAACGTACGCGCTGCCATGGCAGCACCCGAAAGGGAGATTGCTAGTTGAGGGACTAGTGCCTGAGGCTCTGTTAGAGAGCCCGGGCATCATGAAGGGTTTTGTGTCGAGAACAAAAGCAGAAGTGAAAATAAACGCTGCAGCAAGATAGGGATGAACAAGAAACGTGATTGGAATCCCTTCCCGGAGTGCGCACGGTCTTTGGCGAACCGGAAACACCATCATATGCTGGCATGCGATGGTGCGGTCAGAAGGTTCAATATGCCAAGTTGGAAGGGCATATTCCCTCACGTCTGCTGTGTAGCAGCATCCACCGCACCTAACCATTCTTACCCTGCGCTGGCAGCCTGTGGCTGCATTTTTACCGCTGTTGGCAGGCACGGCCGCCAAGGATTGGCCACACGTGGTCGTGCTGATGTCAAATTCGACACGTATGCAATTGCATTCATATCCCCAACATCGTGTGAACAAGAACCGGTAGCTGTGTAAGCCTTAAAACACTCAAATTCATATTGCATTTTACATAACACATGGGCTCTATATTTTTCCGGGCCACTTTTAACACCCACTCATTCTTTTAGTGAATTATAATATCCACCATAGGGTGTTATATACTGGGGATGACGGTAGCTGAAAGTGTAGATTTTTTGGCACCTTGTCTAACTCTTGGCATTCTTAGCAAGTTCAGTTTTGAGTTCGAAGTGGAATGCGGTATAATGCGGTGCTACAATGCAGGTGAAACGTGAAACAAGCGTGAGGCGAATTTGCGCATGCGGGGGTTGGGGAAGGTGGGTGGGGGGGGGGGGGGGGAGGATAGAGAGTGGGATGGATATGGGGGAATCGAATTTGCAGGGGCGGAAAGAAGATCAGCAGCACTTGATTGGGTGCGGGAGGGACATCGAATTTGCAGGGGTGGGAACAGGGCGGGGAATTTTTTCATGCTCATGATTGGGTGTGGTGGGACATGTGTCTGGTTGTTGTGTCGAGGACTTAGCAAAGAAAAAGGGTTACGCGGGGTATGGGGAGAGTGTCTCTTGTGGGGACTTCGCCGTTTCGTATTGGTTGTGGGGGGTGTTGGAGGGATGCCTCTAAGGACTTCACGAAATTTCAGGGTTCCAGGGTGTGTGGGAGGATTGTCTCTGGGTGCGAGGGACTTGGCCAAATTTTTGACTTGCAGGGTGGATGTGAGGGATGTCTCTGTTTGTGGGGGACCTAGCCGGAATTTCAGAGTTTCGGTATCAGGGTATCAGGACATCCTGAAGACTTAGGGTGCCGTGTTCCGCAACTCTGTTTTCGTCAGGGATAAAAATTCGCTACACTTTTTGAATCAGCCTAAAAATATTAGTGAGTCTGATTTTTAAGACCAAGCCAAAAAACACCCGGAAAAATCAGGGCAATCAGGGCATTTCACCTGGCTAATTTGGGGCATGGGACACAACGAGCCAGGGCTTATCTTTGGTTTTTCACCACTCTGATTTTCACGAGTGACTCCTGGCCAAACTCTGATTTTCAGAGTGCCCTGGAGCTCGAACTCTGATTTGTCAGGGTATTTTCACACTTTTCAAATAAAAACTCTTACCCCCAGGATTCACGCCCTACGGCTATTTCGCACCGTGCTGCGTTATCCCGGAAGAGTGCCAAATCGCACCACTTTTTTTTATAGGTGCGTGCCATATACACACCCCCTTCAATTCCGTGCCCAAGAACGAACGCTGAAACGTGCAACTTTATAGAGATTTGGCCGAAATCTGCCCAGTACAGTTGGCTGGAAACTGGGATGTCTCAGTCGGGTTCTCCCAAAAAAATCAGTGCATGCTCTGCTCCGAAATACTTCGATAGGGCGCGCTCCGTGCTCAGGGAAGTCCCTAGGCAGGACTTCAGGGCATCAGTTTGATGGACCAGATGACCCAAAGTTCTGGCTTAGGGGATCTTGCCCGTGTCAACTTATACATATGTTCTATGTAGAAGTTATAGGCTAGACTAGGTGTGTGCTTCTAGTGAGTACAACCCAACAGGTATATGTTCTAGGTTTCTCCTTCTAGTAATCATTCACGTATTCTAAACAGCCCGTACCTATATTTGATGCCCCGAATTCTTCCCTCGAGCCTCCTCAGGTACAAAACGTGTCCTCAGTCAGCACTGCAACTCACGCTGGAAGGCATTTCGCGTGGGAAAAAATAGCAGCCAATCCTGGCTGCCTGCGAGCGAAACAACACGCCAGTGATTGGCTGGTGCTGTACCAATCGCTTTCGCTATGTTGCGACAGCTGCGATGTTTACATGTCAACCCCGTGCCAAGTTACACACGTGAAAACTATCGAGATTGACGGCAAGGGCTGTTAGAAGGCTAGCTTAGCTAGGAAGCTAGGAAAGGCATGAGGTTTAGCTAGGAGGAACCATGGAGTGGCGTGAGGTTTAGGAAGGAGAAATGTTGAGAGGAGAGAAAAGAGTGTTGGAATAGAAAGAGAGAGGCATACAAGGAGGGGATTGTACCCTCTACAGTAAAGTTCGGTAACCTACCAAGCCTAACAATTATATAACTCAATATATAATTTAACAAGGGCCAGTCAAACACCACTGATCACAGCAGGGCTAGGTTGGGTTGGGTGTGGGAAGGAGGAATGCGCCTGGGTTGTGTGGGGTATAAGTGTGTTGTGACTGGTTACAGAGGAGTAAGCCGAAATTTTCCAGGTTACAGAGGTATGAAGCAGGATGTGACCAGTTGCAAAGGACTTAGCCAAAATTCTCCAGGTTGCGTGGGGTATGGGAGGGGTGTGACTGGCAGTCGGGTGACTAAGCCGAATACAGAGAGTACAGGGAAAAATATTGGAGCATCCCCCGCATTGAAAACTCTTCAGGGTGGTACATAGGCCAACTCTGACAAATCAGAGAAAACTTATACTTTCAAAAATTTACCTAGGACCATCAGAGTGGTTTTCAAAAACAACTCTGATTTTCAGAGAATCAGAGTGATTTAATCTAATAAAATTGTTGTGATAAAATTGGTACTTAGCATTTCTGTAAGTCGATTAAGTGTAGTTAGTGTCGAATCATACTGTAGAAGATAAGTCCGTAGGATGATGTCAGCAAATAGCACTCGTCATAGGACAGTCGTTTCAGTCACGCGAACAGTCGCACCTCTTCATTATCATCTAGGGCGCATAGCGCGATAGTGACGAACAGGTACATTAGCGAATAGGTACTTTTCGTAGAACTAATAAATTTCTGTCAGGTCTTTTTCATTATTAACTTCAATTACACACAAGTTCACGTACTCAGGTTATTCAACCTTGACAGTTGCATTTTACAAAGACTTCCGCTGTCTTACTAGTCTACCTTTCCAGCAAAGATCCTGGACAAACACTTGAGGATTTGCCAAGTGTTCGTGTTTATAGTTTTATACTTAGTCTACTACAACACCAGATGATTTAGTTCATGGTATGAGAGCTATCTGGAATTAAGACTACCGTCAACTATGACTGGTCCAACACCAGCACCATCTGCTGGATCAGTTACTGGGACTACTGGAGCACATGCCTCCACTACCGCCGCTGGTCTCTCAGCCTCTGGGCACTTTCCACCAGCCTACGCTAATATTGGTATGCAGAATCCGCCTTCTGTGAATACTCCAGGTGCTCCATCGACTGCACCTGCAACGCAACAGCAGCAATCACAGACAACAGCACAGCAACAAGCATCAGTACAGCCACCAGTTACAATGCAATCAATTTCATCTGCGTTCAGTGGAATGAGCCTTGACGGCTCAAGCTACATGCGTGGAACTACAGCTCCAAATACTGGTTCGTTTGCCTTCTCACCTTTCGTACAGCAGCCGCAGTCGCAGCAGTTTCAGCATCCCTTATATATCTTCGGTCGTTCTCCTGCTCAGCAACCACAGCAAGTACAGCAACAGCAGTATCAGCAACCACAGCAAATACCGCAACAGCAACAGCAACAGCAACAACAACAGCAACAACAGCAACAACAGCAACAGCCAGGCATTTTATTTCAGCCTCCAAATTTACTTAACAATACTCAGATCAAGACAACCGTACCTTTTAATGGTGTTGACCTCTACTCCTGGAGCTTTGAGTTTGAGCTTCTGGCGCAGTCCGCTGGGCTATGGCCGTTCTTCACTGGCGAATTTACGTATCCTGTCGTGGGAACACAACTGGAGCTGCAGAGTTTTTTACACGCCTCTCTCGGGGCGTAGACAGTTCTTGTACGGAACTTGTCGCCGAAGGAGCAGCTTGGCGTTCGATCATTTCAATCAAGTTTCACACCAGCCGAAACTGCATGGAACCATCTGAAAGGGGTATACATGGCAAAGGATACGATAACCGTGAGTAAAATCCTTTCGCAGCTGACAAGTGTGCAGATGATGACAACCGAAAATGTCATGGACTACGTTAACCGAGTCCGTACACTACGCAATCAACTGGAAAAGAGCGGAGGATACTTCCCTCGTGAGATGTATCTCACTGTCCTTCTTGCTGGACTTGGACCCGAATGGCGACAGACGCGCGCCTTCCTGCGCATGAATCCCAACCTCTCCGAAGCTGAAATTTCTTCTTATCTTCAAGCAGAGCAGCAAGATCTTGACCTGCAGTCACAACGCAACCAGAAAAGGGGGGTTTATTTAAGTTTTTACTCCAATCCAGAAACACAGAATCGACATCCACCAAAGTATCCGTTCTGCCATTTCTGTAAGAAACCAGGACATACTTACCAAAATTGTCGCAGTCGTCATCAACGTCGCAGCACTTCGCAGCCGTATCACCGATCGCAGCAGTCACCGAAGACATAACCGCCAAAGCAGCAGTTATCGTCTCAGCAGCAGCAGATGCCGAAACCGCCGCAGAGTTCATCAACGTCGCAGCAGCGCCCGCCGGCCTTCGCATCTGCCACATCAGGAAAAGGAGTTTTTGGATGTGTTACAACAGTTGATGTTTCAGAAACAGATTTCGAAACCCGACTTGAAGAAACAACAAGTGCTGAAGGCATTCCTTTACCTCAAGTTTACGCTAACCTTGCTCGCATAATTTCAGGACCAGATACCTGGTATCTCGACAGCTGCTGCGGATGGCATATGTGTTCTGCCAAAACAAGCTTTATCACGAATCAGCGTCCGCTTCGTCGTCCGATACATGTCACAGTCGCCAACGGACAAACGATAATGGCACGATCAGTTGGCAGTGTCATGCTCGAATCTATCGACACGGGATACTCACTTCATGTTACGAATGTTCTTATCGTTGCCAGTCTTGGCTTCAACCTTCTTTCTACAGCTCAACTCCTGGCACACAAAATCCGCACACAAGGAAATTGTGAGACGATGGATCAAGAGCTCTGGCACAGTACAACTAATACCTACCTTGGTCGTGCCGCCACTCAATATGGCGTGTCGGTACTTCAGTTCGCAGCACAGAGAACTTCTGGTGACTCTGAACGAGTCCTTGCACTTGGTCCCTGGGATCACCCAGACGAAACAGACTATCAACACGTGGACATTGACTTTCGAGCAACAACTGTACCAACAGCTTCTCGAACTGCAGCAGCCGTACTTACCGCGTTGGATACATGGGAGTTTAATACCGCCGATGAAAGCGCCAATGCTTGGCGCACCTTTTATAATACCCGAGCAGCCTTTCAAGGAACTCCAGCACCACATTGGGGAGAGATAAGTGGTCTTGCCGCTGATGAACAAGATGTCGTTGGAGAAGCAGAACAGGAAGCAGTAGCTGAGCAGCTGAGTCCAACAGTAACTGCTGCCGAAACACATGCCACAACATCAACAGCAGCAGCATCAGCAGTTGCAGTCACACCTTTAACTACACCAACAACTGTTACTTTACCTCTTACCCGTTTCAATCGAAGGAGAAACTGACAAGTCCCCAGCCCTTTCTCCTTTCATTCTTTCTTCCATTTATACTAACTCCGATTTTTACCTGCGATCATCAGGACACAAAACCACAGAAGATATATGGCATCAGCGGTTAGGACATCCATCACAAGGAATTCTAAATCATTCAATTCGAGCAGCAGTTCTTGATAAAAACAGTTTACTTTTACGTGATGGCACGGAGATGAAGCCGCAGTCTCGTCCGACGGTTTGCACCACCTGTCCAGTTGCCAACCTTACGCACGATCCATTTCCAAGTCACTTTCCTGGCTCAACAAGTTATAAACTGATGCAGAAAGCCTACAGCGACATACTCAACTTGTCTGAAGCAGGCCCTAAAGACGAGAATTATGTGATCACTTTCATCGAGGTGTCTACACGCTATGTCTGGACAGGAAACTTACCTGCGCGGCATCTAGCTCACTCCGTCTTCGTCGCGTGGCTCGCTGTCGCCGAACAAGAGTCCAACGTGAAACTGCAAGAATTTCAGAGCGATGGTGCAGGGGAGTACACCAGCAACACCTTCACACAATACCTTCAGACACTCGGCATCAAACGGAAGCAGTCCCTGCCACATGCACACCAACAGATGGGGGTAGCAGAAAGGATGAACCGAACTCTGCAGGAGAAGATGCGTGCTCTGCTGACGCAGGCAGCCCTTCCACCGCATTTTTTGCCGTATGCGATGGACCACGCCGTGCTATTACACAATCTTCTTTCTTCAACCTCCCTGCCCGAGTTCTCTTCTCCACACCTGCAGTGGACACGTACAGTGGGGAGTACAAAACTTTTACGAGTTTTCGGGTGTGTTGTACAGTTTCGTCCTCCAACTGCAGCACTCGGCAAATTTTCCGAACGAGCAAAATGGGGGTATATCTCGGCATCGAAAAACAATATCACGCGTGGAAGATTTTGGATCTCCGCTCAAACCAAGTCATCCCGTCACGTGATTGTCTTTTCTATGAAAGACTCACCTTGCCCGTTTTTCGTGCCCACCAGGCAGCAGCTGCCAACCCTGCCAGCGAGCAGGGGCGTGGAGCAGTGGTGCGAGGTGGCAAGTGTGGTTCGCCAAGGAGCGAACATCGCAACACCCTACGCGAAAACCAACCCATTGCACGCATTAATCTGAAGACATTACAATTTATGAAGAGCACACATTTACATCTTCACCTAAAAATCTTCAGGTTACTACCTACGCAACCCTTCCTACGTTTTCACGTCGACATTTGTCACATTTCGGAGCCCCATATAGAACAGTATATATTTGTCAACCTTTCAGGGCACCCGTCTAAAAAAACGGTTATAATCGCCTTTTTTTTCTTCTCGTCCACCACTTCGTTAGACATGGTGGATGAAATTACAAAAAAAAACAATGCTAGCCCGCAACAGAGATAATTCTCAACTTATACATATGCATTGCATGCATAGTTATAGGCTAGATCAATTCGTGCTCTTAGTACAACACCGAACACTTATATCACACTGAAAGCTGTTCTAATCGCCACTGAAGGTGTCAAACACATATGTGTATGTTAATATAGGCAAGATAGGTGCGTACTCTTAGATAGTACAACCCCTTAGCACAAAACTTCCATGTATCTCACGTTCTAGTCACTTTGCTACTTTGATATGGTATCACGCTAGGTTAGGTCCAATCCGCCCACCCGCGCTTCCCTCCTAGCCCTAGACCTAGTCGCCCATCGCTAGCCGCTCGTATCTAGCCGCCCGTAGCTAGCCGCCTGTCGCTAGCTGCCCGTAGCCACCCGTCGCCTAGCGCCCGCTGGCCCCCCGATCGCCAGCCCCACACCTCCTGGCCCCGTGCTCGCCAGCCCCGCACCTGCTTGCCCTGTGCTCGCCATCCCCGTGCCTGCTGGCCCCGCGCAATTGCCAGCCCCGCGCCCACCAGCCTAGCGCCCGTCGGCCCCGCACTCGCCAGCCCAGCGCCCGTCGGCCTCGCGCTCGCCAGCCCCGCGCCCGCTGGCTCTGCGCCTGCTGGCCCCGCTTTCACCAGCCCTGCGCCCGCCAGCCCCGTGCCCGTCGACCCCGCGCCTGCCGGCCCCGCGCCCGCTGGCCCCGCGCCTGTTGGCCCCGCAGACTCTCGCCCAGCGTCCGCTGGCCCCGATTTTGCCAGCCCCGCGACGCTGGCCCCGCGTTTGCAGCAGCTCGCTGCCGGCCTGCTCCTCCTGCTTTGCTGTCCAGATTCGAATCCTATGGTATGGCAGGGAAGAATGCCTGCAACGACTAGTACATGTTCTATGTGTGTTTTGGACTGCACCACCCCAGACGAACTCAAGAGAGGGCGAGCATGAGATTGAGGTGCCACAGCCACCGTATATGCGGAAAACAGGTTTGGAGGCTGACTCGGCGCAAATTTCTAGCTTCGAGGCTTGCTTGACAGCAGAACCAAGCAAACATGTCACCAAAACCTAGCGGAAATTACAAGGAAAACTCAAATTGTTATGAATGAACAAGCAGAGTAGCACGGAAATGAATATCGAAGTGTTGAATCACTGAATGACGATACAAGGTGTTGAGAGAAAGATAGAGAGAGAGAGAGAGAGAGAGAGAGAGAGAGAGAGAGAGAGAGAGAGAGAGAGAGAGAGAGAGAGAGAGAGGAAGAGAAAGAGATAGGGAGCAACACAGAGAGGGAGGGAGTTAGTGAGATAGAGGGGTCAGTAGAGACAAAGAGATAATATATAGAGAGCGAGAGAGGAAAGATAGATAGAGAGAGAGAAATAGAGAGAGAGAGAGAGAGAGAGAGAGAGAGAGAGAGAGAGAGAGAGAGAGAGAGAGAGAGAGAGAGAGAATGAGAGAGAGAGTGAGTGAGAGAGAGAGAGAGAGAGAGAGAGAGAGAGAACGAGAGAGAGAAAGTGAGAGAGAGGGGGGGGTGAGAGAAAGAGAGAGAGTGAGAGAGAGAGAGAGAGAGAGAGAGAGAGAGAGAGAGAGAGAGAGGGGGGGGGGGGAGGGTTGTGAAAGCATACGTTACACGTGTACAGCAAGAGACAAGGGTATGTCGTGGCCAGAGTGTCAGAGTGCTCGGTCCAATGAATTGGACGTGGGTTGACAACGTCTCGCGCGAGTGGGAGGACGGTCCCCCTGAGTCTGAAGCACGAGGCGAGGAAACTGATGATGCTTCCCGGCCCGCGACTCGGC